ACGGAGTGGCGACGCAGCCGACCCGAGTTCGATTCCTTGGCCACAGGCGGCCTTTTTTCTTCGGACAAGTCACGGTGTCCGGATAACAAGGCCGCCATCCACCACCCGGGCATAGCAGATACCTACGGGTGCCCAATTAAAAATTCTGCCAAACACAACACACATGTGTAAAAACCTTACCATTATAAAAACTACTACCTATAATCATAAAACCCCACAATCAGCTAATGGCCAGATAGTCACCGGGCTTTAAAGATGATCAATAATAAAATAAAAATATATAAGTTATTATAATTGGTAACTTTTAAATAAAAAACAAGCCCCATTGCCCATATTATTACTTATATACAGGGTGATTCATTAAGCGTTAAACACTCATTATCTCAAAAAGTAATAATGTTTTTGAGAATATTTTTTATATAGTTTCAAGTTGTTAAAAAAATAGTTTTTATTAAAAAATTGTATTTTTAAATATTTTTTATCCTTATAATTTTTTAAGTTTTTTACTTTTTTGAATCACAGCATAGAGTTTTAATTTCATTTTCCAAAGCAGTTAATTTGTCTAAGTGTATTTTAGTTTTATACTGAATGAATCACCTTGTATAACTGAATATGTTCTTTAGGAAAGGATCGTATAGATTTTCTACAGGTTTCTGCATTTTCAGCGTAATTACGACAAACGATATTGGACATTATAATATTATATAAGTAGATTAATGTGTGCTGTGCATTTTTTTATACAGGAAGAAAAAATACGTAACAACAGTTTGGAAAGGAAATTAGTAATCGGGTGAATGAATAAATTATAAAATTGATTATAAAAGATCAAAAAGTCTCCACGTAATTTTAAAAGGTCTTTCGTGACATGGTATTGAAGCTTAATGTGTACATAATAAAATTCTGTGTAAGAGTTTAACACTTGACAAAACTCAAAGTTGTGTACACAATGTTTCTCTGCAGCCGGGAAAAATTCATTTAATTTTGAAACATGGCTAATATTGAAAAATTGGATCGGTAATTTGTTGTCTTATTTCTTATCGCGATCAGATTGCATATTTCTAGTTTCTACTGATTGTAAACTACAATTCCAATATGGCAATATAATGTAATATGATGTATACCTATGTTTGTAATAAATAAATAATAATAATGTGACAAATAAAAAAAAAATATAGATACTTCATTATAGTTCATTAGTTAGACGGAAAAAAATTAATTTATTTTAAAGAAATTTGTGCAATTATTTATCCATTATGGTTGTCTTTGATATTATTTTTTAAGTACCCAACTCGTTATCTACTTGTGATTTTGTTGTTACATTTTTAGAATTACATCATTATGACTTAACTATATTAGAATAAACAATGCAATAAAACTATAAAAGATCAAATTTAAAATTAAATACCTATATAAAATAAGTCCAATTTATGTAATGTAATTTAATTAATATTATGCTAATAATACCTATAGATACTGTATCAAAACATTATCAGTACTCAGTAGGTATATTTCTCTTTATCCGATTTATATAACTGCGTAGGACATAAGTACCTACAGGTACATAATATTGTACTATTACAACAGAATAGGTAATTATATCCACGATTAATAATTCTCAATTATAAAGTGTAGGTATAATTATTATTAATCGTATTACATGAGTGTTCGAAGTTATACTATAATATAATATGTATGACTTTTGTATTTTTTACCCTTTAATCCTATACAATGTTAAGCAGGCTACAAATTTGTTTCATGCTTCATTGGTTCAAAATTAATACATTTTATGTGGCATATATGGGTATAAATAAATGCATTTTTATGTTTTGTACATAATTCATGTTACCTATAGCAAATTTTTCATAAATTTTAGATTTCAAAGAAAATGTCTACATTTTTTAAAATATTTGTATTAATATTATTACTGATTACTGAAGAAGGAAAACACATTAGTCAAGATAAATTTGACGAAAACTGAGAGAAGTGAAAAAAAATATACAAGTATATTGCCTAATTTATCCAATTATAGTGATCAATTGCCAATCGACATTTAATTTAGAGATGTGCAACTTTATTAGCAGTTAATATTTTACTTGCTAAATTAATAACACAAGCCTTATAAATTATAAAATATGTTTTGAAAAATAATATAAAATTAGAAATTTTAGACAAGTCTATATTATAGGCATGTAAGATTTATAATGAAAACGTTATTTTAATACAATACAAATGACAAAATATTAGACGTATTATGTATAGGTGATAAAAAATTTTAGTTAGTGCAAATATAATTTATGTATTATGCGATGTATTATATAATAATTTATTTTTTCACTTATATTTAAGGTTTCTCTTATCAGTGGCGTTCTCAGGAATTTTATATGGGGGGGGGGTTCTGAAAATTTACTAAAATCCGTAGTCATAATAATATTTACAAATTTTATGTTATTAATTATTATTTAATATTTATTTATGTATTTTACCATTTTAGTAGACAGTACCTAGTGAGCTGTATTTGGTACCTATATCATATGAATATCAAAAGTAAAATAATGCAACCAAAAACTAAGCTTTTAAACATTCATACTTTAATAATCATTATAAAACCATAATAATTTACCAAACATTTCAAAACACAATAATTTCAAGTTTCAGTCCATGATCTCTATCCATTCTCTATATCGTTCGTTTTACACTACTAACTACTTCTGTAACTGGTCAATTTATAGGATATCGTGCATTGATAACAAGAATAAATCTTTTTCTTTTTTAAATTAATTTTTTACAGGTTAACTGTACATTTTTGATTTGTATACTAATTCTTATACTTATAATATAAACTTATTTGTACATAGACACTTAATTAACTTAGTTAAAAGTAACTTGACTTTAACTTATTAATTCGTTAATGCCTAGTCTTGCTTTTTTACAGAACAAATAAAATTTTATTTACATTCATAGAAAAAAAAAAACAAGCAAAATTGGAAAACGAAAATGTCCGTAAACAGTTCAAAATAAATCCAAATAATATTAATAATACATTTTATCGTGAATATAAAATGATAATATAAGCAACCAGTGAAAATGTCAAGTATCTACAACATTTGTTTTAGAGTTAGGTACACCAAAAACCAAAATTTTCTATTGTAATACTCATATGAAAGTGAAAAAAAATAAGGTTGATTGGGGGGTCAAACCCCATGACACCCCCACCCCCCCACCCCGTGAGTACGACACTGGCTCTTATAGTAGCTATTGGTTAAGGGGCAAAAATTAGGTAATTTCTAACGTAGCAGTTACTGCCTGTTATCTTTTTGATAGTCGTAGTTTATTATTAGTGTGTGGGAGTTTGGTTAAATATTAGGGCGAACGTGGTATATATTTAATTATATCACATTTTTATTTGTATAAGTACAAAAACGTTTACTTTAAACGTATTGTAATATCTTTGAACTCCGTATACCACCTTATAGCTTAGTTGGTATTCGTATCAGCTATAATTAATGTATTTTATTGTAATTAATTAATTTTATTTGTTTTGGCTGAATAAATAAATAAAAATAAATAAATATGTTCTATATAGCACAAGTACAAGTCATCGAAGGCATTAGAATATCACTTTGTACTTAGACAGGTAAGCAACAATAGTATATTTTTAGTTAATTTTTTGTAGTTTTTAAGGGAATTTTGCATTTTTGCGTGTTTTTACTTTTAGGTCAGAAAAAATCCTGTCCCTCATATGACACTTATATTATGTGTTATTTTAGTTCTATCAGTGATCCATGCAGTGGCGTATCTAGGATTTTTTCAAGGGGGGGGATATAAAAATTTTGTAATGTGTAAAAATAATAATAATAATTAGTAGGTATCATAATCTAGTATAGTTTAATTTCTAAAATCTAAAATTAATACAAATTCTAAAAACAACAACCGATTGGAACTTTTATTAATTATCATTGATCACGGACTTCAGTTAACTCACAACGGTCGTGTATGATTCAACTATTCTGGGTATTGTGTTAATATTTAAGTTGAGTACCTAATTCTACCTAAATTAAAATGTATTTTTTTCGTGACGCGTGTTTACATTAATCTTTTAATTTGGTCAAAATATGACTGGGTTGACAAAAAATAAATGGGTTGTGTGGCTAAAAATATAAAATGAAACTGCTCAAGAATCGAAAATAATTTCTGGTATGTTTAATAAACAGATAAAACTTGAGGTGATAACTAAGCAATAAAAAAAAATATATTTTAATTTAAGATAATATTAATTTGAAAATATATCGTATACCTATATAAGAGTAATAGAGTATGGACTATAAGTGATGAATCAGGTAAAATTGATTTATAGATAATGCAGTTGATATATTTTCAAAAATAAAAAAAAGAAGATATCCCAATAAACTACTAATATTTTCGTTTATCAATATAAATATAGCCGTATAATAGTTTGCAGACTTTTAACTGATATATGCGTATACAATTGTTTTTTTTAAATATCTGCTACCTTATATTTAAAAATTATGTTACCTAGTTAATAAAAATAGGGTACCATAAACAAATTTAAGCAGATAATATGTAGTTGTGAGCGGTTTTTTTTTACCCATTCGGGCTGGTCAAAACCTTTGCCCCCTCTATTGAAAAACGAAATAATGCCACTGGTTGTATGATATTATTGAATTTAATACCATTCATTTTCGTTCATAGGTTAGGTTTTAGGTGAGCTGTTCAATCTTCATACAACTATCAAATAATTGTTGTAAATAAAAAAATAAAAATAACCTTCCCGGGGGGGGATATGACCCCCATATCCCCCCCCGTAGATACGCCACTGATCTACAATACATTTTACATATTTAATTATCAAAAAAAGCAGTTAACTTTTGTTAACTCAAAATTTCTCGGTGCGCCACTGTTAATATATATTATTTAAACTGAATTGTATTACTTACTCCCTTGTGCTAAAAGTATAGCTGAAACTTTTATCCATTGCATATCTATTTTTTTTTACATCTTTTAACCATACTTGAAGCATACGTCACATCAATATTACTTGGCCAAAATAAAACTATTTCAGTTTTTTCACTGATTAAATCTTGATTATTAATTTTATCCTCTGTGCATGGTGTAGTCTGAATCCAGCATAAGAATCCAACTTCCACAGAATTACCTTCATTGGTAAACTCAAATAGTCCACAATTTTCATCGCTCATAGCACTTATTAATTTTTCATTTTCATTATATGAACACATTTTAAAAATGACGATGTCGATATTTTAACAAAAAACAATGACGGGCGAAAAAAAAATGTTAACACTCAATATAAAACTGTTAATAATGTTACAATGACGCAAGTACGCAACAGAATATGACCATAGATCGCGTTAAAACAAAGCAAAAACCGCTACGGCATATTATTTCAGTAAATGAATATTATGGATATTATAACCGTTTACTATATTGTGCGGTCTGCGCCGCCGTGCCTGGAACGTAACGTACAGTTGGTGTCAACGCAACGGTGAACGGAGGCGTGTGCGTGCGCGTATCAGAGCTATATACAATATACCCATATTAAGTTATTAATAGTTTATATTATCACAATATTATGATGATTATAAAAACTAAAATGTAAACAAAGAAAAATCATTGTTATTACCATTGATTATAAATAATATTATAATCAATGTTATTAAATACTTATTACTTATTATACAAGGAATATTTTTAGCCTCACGACACGTCGACACGTATTCTATGATATTTTCTTTATATTAAATAATTTCTCTAATATTATATAAGTAAAAAATAAATTCTGTATCATATTTACGCACTAATACAAATAAAAAGAAATGGATAATTACGTACCAAAAAAATATAAAAAGTACCTTACAATCGGAAATAATGGATCGCCAACACCAACAGTTTCTAGACAAACTAAGTGGTTTAGAAGACAACAGGTAAATATACTTCATTTTTTTTTAATTGTTTGTGGGTGGATTTCATTAATATTATACAGTTAATGTCTTCAGACTGTATCTTATGTAAGACAAGGTCCACATGGTTAGGGTATCATTAAATGCTGTACACCTATTAAGTATTTATTACCTATTTAATATTCTGTATTGTTTTATTTTATGTTTACTCAGGAAAATAATTTGAGACCTGCATTAAACAGAAACTTGGAAGCAGTTGCAGATGATGCTCCCAATAATGTAAATGATAATAATAGTGACCAAAACATCAATCCAATCTTTGAAGTGAATCATGAAGTAAATTATAGTATTAATTATTTTTTATTAATTTAATTTTATAAATACTATGTATATAAGAACAACAGTTATTATTATTTATTACCAATTTTAAATAACTATTAATTTGCATTTTTAACATTGTGTTTTATTATTATATATATTAATTGAAAGAATTTTATTATAATCTATAAGCAACAGAGTAATACTAAAACAAAGCTGGACACTAATAACTTGTTAGAAAGTTTTAGTTTATAATATTTTAGTAACTTGAATTGAATTGAATGAGTTGAATGAGTTGAATTGAATGTGTAAAATAATTAAATATTACTCATTAAAAACAATAAATAACTAGTTCTTTTTGTAGTTCTTTTTCATTTAAAGATCTAAATGTTCTGTAAAACTGCTGAGTGCCAACTATTATTACCTAAATCTAATATCTGCAGCTGTGATAACGATAGTTAATGAATATTGATAGATTTCAATCTTATGATAATAACATTTTTATTGTCATATTATTTCTTATAAATTCTTTATATTAGTTATAACTTGTAATTCTTATAATACATATTACAAAGTATAACCAATATAGCTTAAATATATAAATAGTATCTACATTTTGGTGGCTGTGTATTAGTGGGCTATTGTCGGTGTGTAATATTAATACTTTACATTTAAACGAACCCGTTTATAAATTTATATTTTAAACTAAAAACAAAAAACTAACTTCTTACTTCTACTCTGACTTAAAAGACTATTTTCATGTAACTAACTAACTTAGAAATTTGGCAAATTTCAGAAAGTAAAGTACCTACTAAAGTAACTTAACATTAACTAGTTAAAAAAAATTATTTATTTACCCAGCTTTGTACTAAAATATCTAAATATATTGTTGTTTAATTAATTCAAATAGAGTACCTAGTAAGTATAATTAGTTATATACAAATTAAACTACTTCACAAGCAAATTTTGAGGGATTTTGAATTTAACTTTGTATTATTTGTGTAATAATAAATAATATAAAATGTTCCTATTTATATTTTTACAGCCCAATGGAAATCATACAGATGATTCTACAGATGCTTTATCAGTAGATATAGATGTTTCGGAAAGAGATTTAGATAGTAATAATCAGGGCTCGTAACTTCATGCACTAAAAAACACATAAATAAGCATGCATTCATGCACTAAAAATTGTCAAAATATGCATTAAAATATGCGCTTAAAAGTTCGAAAATATGCATTTATATGCCTTAACATTTTTAAATTATGCACTCAAAATATGCATACAAAAAAAACATGACCAAATTTTAAAATAATAAGAATAAATCCATACATTTTAAAAGTATTTTATTCCTTTTAATTTTTATATATTTAACAGTCAAAATTAATAAAATAAAAAATAAAATTAATACTTGTGAAGTTCAAATAGCTTTGTCATCTTTATAAATTTTAATTAAGTAGTCATTTTTGTTTAATTTGTGTACACCCTTATTCAGCACCAACAATGAAAACATTTGGAATGAAATATTAAGTATTTCATTTTGAAATAATTTAGTAATATATATTTTGTAAGTGTTTTTTTTTTATGTTTTCCAACTTAAGAGGGCACACTAGTAGACAAAATATGGCATAAAACCATGGTTTCGTAATTCAAGTAATACGGCTTATTGAAGTGGTTTACAGTAAAAATACCTATTATAAAAATTGTAGAGAAGAACTTTTTTTACAATCGTAAGAAGCCTGATTTTCGATATTTTTATTAATTAGCTAAATAATTAATCAATAAAAAATTTAAAAACCGTTATAATTTACCATGCTATATTGGACGATTGGAACAAGATATCAAAAATCGGAAGGAACTCTTCAAATATTTGTCTAAAAAATATTTTTATGAAATAATATGCACTAACGACTGTAAAAAATCAACTATATGCCAAATATGACTTTACACCCAAAACATGCAAAAACATGCACTATCAAACTTCATATCAATATTACTATTGTTATGAAACGGATTTGTATCTCAGTTAGCATGTTTTCCTGTGTAGCAAAAAAAACATGCAGATGCATGAACTTACGAGCCCTGGTAATAATATACTAATTGATGAAAATATTGAAGATAATGATAATGCACAACAGGAATTTCTGGTAATAAAATGCATAATTATTGTGATGTATTTACATGATAAATTAAAGAACGCATGTTTTTAAAATATGTTTTAATAGGTCAATAGTGACCTGGCCGATGAAACTACCACACGTTATTTTAATAATAGCAAAGTTACAACTGAGGAGAGTGAACTACTTCTTCTTGCATTTGCGTTGCGTCACAAATTGACAAGCAGAGCTCTAGAAGATTTGATTGATTTAATTAATTGTCATACACCTGATCATCCTATACATCAATCTAAGTACTATTTATTAAAAAAGTTTACTGAAATAATTACTCCACCAGAAGTGCATTACTTCTGTGAAAAATGTCAAGCTATTCTTCCTAATAACAATTCAAATGAGGACACCACAGATGTGATAAAATGCACTCAATGCTATTTTGAAAATATTGTTAAATATTTAAAAGACACTTCTTGTTATTTTCTAACAATACCGTTAGGCATTCAATTAAAAAAAATACTGGAATCTAAAACTGGTAGTAAGTTGAACTGGGAAACTAATGTAAATGATGTAAGAAATGGCACATTTTACAAAACACTGAAAGAGAAAAATGACAATAACAATTGTAAATATTTGACCATTCAATGGAATACAGATGGTATACAAGTTTTTAATTCGTCAAAAATGTCTGTTTGGCCAATTCAACTGATGCTTAATGAATTACCATATCGTGAACAGAGAGAAAATATAATTCTTGTTGGACTCTGGTTTTCTCCTACAAAACCCGATATGAATACATTTTTATCACCATTCGTCCAAGAATTGTGCAAGTTTCATAGTGAAGGAATTGACATTCAGCTTCTAGGTCATAATAGTCCAACTAACTTCAAAATATATACACTTATTTCATCCGTAGACTCTGTAGCCAGACCGATGATTCAAAGAATTAAACAATTCAATGGGAAATTTGGTTGTTCATACTGTCTCAATGAAGGGGTTATCCGAGATGTTGGACGAGGATCTTGTCGAGTGTATTTAGGTGACGTTGGACCAGAAAGAACACTAGAACAACATGTGGCTGATTGCAATTCTATCGATCAATTAGAAGTTGATAATATAAATGGAGTCAAAGGAACATCAGTTATATTACTATTAGATACCTTTCATATAATCGATAGTTTAGTTCCTGATTATATGCATTGTGTATTGTTAGGAGTGGTTAAAACGTTTGTTGAAGCATGGTTTGACTCTTCTTCATTTGAAAATGAATGGTATCTTGGTAGGCACGTTAAAGAATTTGACTTTCGCTTAATGAATATTAAGCCTCCTTCTGAAATAACTAGAACGCCTAGGAGTATAAATGATCGAAAACAATATAAGGCGTCTGAGTGGCGAACGTTTTTATTGTATTATTCACCAGTATGTTTAAAAGGCCTATTGCATCAATCTTATTATCAACATTGGAGTCTTTTAATATCAGCAATTTATGGCTTGTTAAAAGATAACTGTACTGCTGAAGAAATTAACAACTCTGAGGATTGTTTAAAAAAGTTTGTTTTTCAAATACCAAATCTATACGGTGAGAATTTCATGAAATTCAATGTTCACCTACTGCTACATATTTCAAGTCATGTAAGAAGATGGGGATCACTCTGGGCTTGGTCTGCGTTTCCTTATGAACATTACAATGGAGTTATAGGAAACTTTTTCCGTGGTACACAATGTGTACCACAACAAATTTTAAAGACTTACCAATTTAAAACTACAATGAATATAATGATTTCAAATATGCAAGCTGCCAAATCTAATCAAAAATCTATTAACCCTCGAATTTTAAATTTATTAACTCGATTAAATGGATATAGCCATGTAACAAATGCGACTTGTCT